ATTCCTAAGCTGCCTTCCCTCAGTTCTCACACCATTCTGAATACAACCACGGAAAAGAAATAAAAACAATACACAAAGATGAGACATTTTCAGATATGCGCTGGGAACATCTAGGCATCTAGATGGAGTTTTGAAACTGAATCAACAGCTAAACTAGACCTGAGGAGAACTGATACTTGCATGGATTACTTTTCTATTATTATTATTATTATTATTATTATTATTATTATTATTATTATTTGTTTATTTTTAATGGTCTGTCACTAGCTGGGTCAACAGTGGAAGAATGATGCCAGAAAGAGAAAATGCATTCAACCTTCGAAATTCTGATAGGCAAAGAGCCGTGGCATATTAGCCTGGGAGGGGGGGAGCAATCTCTGTATCTCTGTAGTATTTGTATTTTAATGAGTTTTATTTTAAGTACATGATTATTTCACCTGCATGTGTGTGCACCATTTGTACACATTTGTGCAGGGCTGGAGGTGGCCAGAAGAGGGCATTGGATGCCCTAGAACTGGAGTTACAGATAGCTGTGGGTCCCCATGTCTGTGCTGGAAATTGAACCTAGGTCCTCTGAAAGAGTAGGCAGAGCTCTTAGTCACTGAGCCTTATGAGGATGATTTTAGAATCTGAAGTTTAGAAAATACAGCATCTGTCTTGCTGCTGGAAAAACACTTATTACTATTTGCTTTCTTCCATATTCTTTTTCATCTCTGAGGTTTGGTGAGTTAATATCTTGTTCTTTGTGCATATTCACTTGAAAGTTGTATTTAAATAAATTCAGCAAAAACAATTTAAAAGTAATGTATATCTGAAGTTGTACCTGGTTCAACTGTATCACACCTCATCAATAAATCTAAGAAAAATGGAAAATGACTTCAGGTACGATTGCTGAGAGGATTACCAGGACATGGAAATGAGAGACAGCTGGAGGCAAATTAAGGAGCGGAAACGAGAACTGAAGCAGCAACAGGGCTGGCCTTCCACTTAGACTCTACGCACAGAGCTTTAGTGCACTGCAAATTTTATTCCTGCTACAGCATACATTTAGTTTTGAAATGCCCCAAGAAGGATGGACATGGCTGAAATTTACATTAGATGACATCTTTGAGTCCTCTAGCTAGATGCTGGAACCTTAAAGCCACCATCGGCAGTGCGTGGGAGAGTCAGGATGAAGTCACAGGAGAAAGTCTGCCTCACAGGTCACGGTTCACGACCTATGCGCCAAGCAAACTGTACATTTGAAGTTGGAGTCAGAAAATGGAGTGAGCAAAACATCAATGCAACTGTACTAAAATGTTCAATGACTGTATTAAATGGGAAGAGAGAAGAATTAGAGAAATAAGAAAATGCAATCAATACCCCTGCTTAATCCAGCCACACACACTTTACAAGAGATTAGTTAGTGTCCTATTTTTCACATCATGCTCCATTCTATGGGAATTACAATACAAATTAAAGACAAAAGAGCTATCAGTTCACTTTAGGCATACATTCAGACAGAAAAAACTGATAGCCCTGTGCTGGCTGTCAAAAATTCAGAGGCATGAAGGTAGATATCTTAAAGAAATTTTCTTTTAGGCTGTATCAGTATCTATGTATCTGTCTATTGATCTATCTATTTACTTATTTATTTACTCAGATAGGTTTTCATTATGTTCCCTAGGCTCGTCTGGGGTTCTGGGTTCGAGTGTTTTCCCCAGCTCCATCTCCTAATGTGGGCAATCAAGCTGCATGTGGCTGTAGCCACCCCTCAGGTTTCCTTGTATTGGGGGTGGGTCCACATTTCTGTTTCTAGGGACTCAACATGGATCATCCTCAACAGTTTTGAGAAAACCGAATGAGACTAAGCAATTTACATTAAAAGTTATCAGAGCTCATTTTAACTCTGTAACATAAAATCTTTCAAACCATCCTGAATATATAGGGATGGTCATTGTATTAAAGACACCAGTTACTGGGAAGTATGGGTAATACAGAGATAAACTACTGCAATTTGGAACCAGAAAGGCCACCTGGCCCAATCAATGAACGAGAATTGATAACTCACCAAGACTATTAGGGACTTACAGTGTTGTAGGGTGTCTCATATTCATTTTTAGAACCCCCCCCCACCCAATTCAGGAAGTATTTTCACCTTTGAGGTTTCCAGCTATGGTCAAATGAGCAACCCCTGTTCCACATCAGAAGAGCCATGTCCACCCCCACCCTTGCTTTGGCCTGACGTCCTGGGCCTCTTCCTCCTGTGCCACCACTCCTTCCGAGCAAGGCATTGCAGCAGGATCCTCCTGGAGACTTGTCTGTGGCACCCAGAGCAAAAAGACAACAGAGGACACAGGAGAGTGGCAATACGTCACGTGAGTACTACAACCTTCAGATGTTGACTTTTTTAAGCAGTTAAAAATATTTTAGAATGCAGAGAGATCAATCCACAAAAGAGTTATGCACCTGTCCTAGTCAGGAGCTAGCTTAGGCAGCTTGGAAGATTCTGCGTACCTTTGCCTGCCCACCTGTGTGCCAGAGACAGAATAGTAAGGGTTGTTATTTCAGCTCTCATTGGAATGTCTTGTGTGACAGCCTCGAAGGGCCTCAGAAAAAAGGACTATTTTAAATTTTGATCCTTGCCTTTGAGCTGTAGTCCAAGGCGTTGAAGAGTAGTTATTAATTTTATTATCAAAAGGACACTTTCTAGTAATGTTTGATAACTGTGTCAGCATTGTGGAGAGATCCCTTTTAATACTGCTCAGGTTTTTTTTTTTTTTTTTTTTTTTTTTTTCTTTCCCTTTGCTCCGTGTCCAGTCTGGTTATCCCGCACAGTCCAATACTTACACACCATATTCAGTTTGTTCTAAACATTATTAAGGCTTGGAAGATGGAAGAGATTCTGGTTAATTCAAAACTATTTGACTTAACTAATGGAGACAGTTTGAGAGTCTGTTTTTCATATCAGACTCATATCAAACAAGCCCGCTGCACAAATGTTTGCACACCAATAGAAATAATACTATTCATGTGTTGTTGCGGATGGAATAATTGTGCAGGTAAGGTTTCACTTCTGATTTTTACACATATATTATATATATTTATGTCTCTGTTAGGCTATGCCATAGTATAGATGATCTATTCCTTTTACACACACACACACACACACACACACACACACACACACACACACACACATGTATGTATGTGAAATCAAATACAAGGCTTCAGCTCCTGGAAAAACAAGAAACACCTTTCATTTCTGTGTGAATTCAATGCTGCCAAAGACTGTAGCTCACGTAGTTACTTAAAGGCCCAGGAATATTAATGTTTGAATGTTTCTCAGGGATCAAATATCATCTGATAACCTGTGCCTTTTGCACATGGCTCTGACGTCTAATTACAGCTTTCATCTATTACCCTCCCCCACAGAAATTTATTATTCATTCACTTTACAGCCAATTTCCCTCCGTCCTTCCTTCTTCCTGTTCTGTCTTTTCTTTCTGTCTTCTATTATTTAAGAGGGTGGGACCAGTGCATAAAAAGAATGGATTCATTAGTGAGGGAGCACTGTTTTTGGTAGTGATGTCACACAAAATGGCAACTTTTCCATAGTATATTGTGTTGGGGGGAACAATACTACCTTTGTAATGAATGAAAATCCATATAATGATGTGCCAAAATGTAAATGGCAGAGCGAACAACCCCTAAGAGGCCGCCTGATGATCTGCTTGCAGGGATCAAATGCGGTTCCCAAACAGAAATTCCCTACTGCTGAAAAAGAGGCAACAATGAACTCACGTACATTTGTTTTATATATCTATGAAACAGGCTTTTTTTTTTTATTTCAACATGCCTGCAAGGGAAATTGCTTTACTACCATAGTTCAATGTCCAGTGTGCAGGGGACACCCGCTGTAAGGCAAACAGAATGAGGTGACGGCTCCAGCGAAGCAAGGCTGGAATCTATTCTGCCAGAATTAACGCGTGCACTAGTTAAACACGCTTGGTGTGTGTGGGAAACCTGCTAGGAATGGCTGCATTGTGGGCTGTCCCCTGCCTGTTTAAAACCACCTTCTCCTGGGATCTGCCTTCTGCTTTCCTTTGTTTCCAGTGGAACTGTGCAAAGGGGACAGCCACTGTAATGACAACCCAGCGTTGTCGGAGAAAACAGACCAACGCTGCAAGGAGTAAAGCCCCCTGGGAATTACAGACCCCCAAGTGCTCTGGAGGCATTGAGAGGAAAGGGCTGTCCCCCGCCAGCCCCGTTTTCACTGACGTCATGGTTTTGTATTCACACTCAGCAGTTTACGATTTCAGCTAACATGCCAAGTTGTCTGTTGTGGGGTCAGCTCCCCGGGAAAGTAATGTAACTTTTCTCCCCGTTTTCCGTTTTCATTCTCTAAACCAAAGCAAATCTGTCTCTTACATTTGTGGAGAAAGCATCTTTAATGAGCTGCAGAGGCTACTAGGAGGAAATGAAAACCTGTCCCTCGCCCCTCTGTATCCAGGGCTGTAAGAGTTTAATTATCGTTATGCTGTTCAACATTCAGAAAGAGCATCAACTTCCTTTCATTCCAGCAAAGGAGGTGGCCTTTTTCTTATAGTGTTTTCTTCAAGAATGGAATGGTTAGAACACAAACGGAAGGAGTTTGAGGGTGTTGCCGAGCTCAGCTGTGGCTTCTCCACTGAAAGGTGGAGCTCCCAGCACAGTCACTTACTTAGGCTGTTTGAGGACAGCTCTCTGGGTAAGCCTGAAGCCACCCCTTTCCCTCAAGAAGACACTGATCTCGGGAAGTGTTTGCCCGTCAATAGTGCAAGTGGCATGTGCCTCGCCAAAGCCGCCCTTTCCACCTCGTACACCCCCAAAGAACACCACGTTTTCACAAATTAAAATGTGGTCCTGTGTATGTGTGCTCACACACCTGTAACCTCTGTATTTAGGGGACAAAAGATTGTTTTTTAAAGAAAAGGAAAAAGAAACTGGAGAGTTTTGTATTTTTTGTGTTTTTTTTTTCTTTTTGTATTTATGCAGACCATTTCAGGGTTTTCAGTCTCAACAAAACACTAGTAAAACAAAGAATCTAGTAAAATATTTGTGCATGTACTGCTAAACAATTCTAGCAACTTTATTAAGCAATACCTTTATTATTTTTTAATATTCTTAACAGACTGGAACAAAACATTTTTTCAAAACAAAATGTGCATACTGTACGCGTGTCGCAGGGTCAAGCGTGATGCGGAGGAACCGGTCCGAAGGAAACAAACGCCTGGGACTTTTACAGCTATAAAGTTAACAACTAAATTTTGTTCACTAAGAGGACCTTGTCTATGGATTTCCTTCAGCTCTCAGCCACACAGCAAACTTATCCAAAGTGCACTTCCCAAGTGTAGTTAGAGACTAGGAAGGAATGTGAAGTGTATTTTTAAAATTATTCTTTTTGTTTGTTTTGTAAAAACAGCCCTTATTAACTCTCCTTTCCACTGGCCCTACTGTAAACCCATAAAAGCCTTTTTTAAAAAAGCAAATTCATATACACTCAGCAGGTGAAATGTTCCCACAAAGGAAAAAAATACAAACAGTGATTAGACTTCTTTTTCTCAGCGCGCCTAGAGCTTGCTGGAGGACGCTTCACACTGCAGTAAAAATGGCTGATCTGTTGACTGGCTTAAAATGAGATTTTCCTCTGTGATGATGCAGAGCTGTATACATTTTATACCTGGGGGAATCTGGGACCCTACGCTGGGGCGTTACTGGGATTAAATGGTACATGGTCTGTATACTAGACCCCTCCCACCACGATCAGGGAGGAACACAAGTCTGGATTTGCGCTCTCGGAGTCTGCTCCCATCGCCCGGAGGCAAGCGCCTGGTGCTCAGGAGGGCCAGCTTGCGGGCACCCCGCGGGCCGTGGGCCGTGGCCCCTCCTGTCTGCTTGGCCAGTAAGAAGAACTGGGGATGGGCGCTGGAGCGACTAGGTTCACGGGAGCGTGTTTCACTCTGACATTGTGATTTTCTGAACTGCCTGACTCAATGTTGGATCATTCGGAGGAACCACTAGGCCCTGGCTCCCTCGGCTTTTGCAGGACACACACCCACCATGCGAGACACAGACAGAAGCAAGCGGATGTTGTCTGCTTGGGGACGTAAGAAGGCGAGGGCCAGCAGGGCCTGCAGGGCGTGGCGCCCATAGGTTCGAAGGAGGCTTAGGGATTTTTATTTTTTTAATTTTTTTTGTTGTTTTCTTTTTTTGTCTTTTTTTTGTTGTTTTTTTAATTTTTTGTCGTTTTTGCTACACCGTGAGGTTATAGCGGTCATTCATCTATCAGAAACTGACAGGACGGAGACAGAAGTATCTGATGGACACACGATGACTAGAAATAGATAGATAGATAGATAGACACTGAGAGACTTAGTTCACCCTCAAAGAAATCCTGCACCAACAAGTGCAGAAAAACACACTCAAATAAAGGAAACGGAAAAAATGAACCCAGACCGAACCGAAAGCAAAGGAACCCTCCGAACGTTAAAACACAGTGTATAAAATGGCATGAGAAACTGAGTCGCTGGCAGCCTCTTCCTCCGTGAAAGGCTGCGGCTGTGTCCGCGTCGGGAATCGTGCCCATCGTTACCCACCGGCCCCCGCGGGACGTCTGAGGGCAAAGCACCCGGGTGCGTTCAGTTCCCGGGCCCCCGCGTGGGGGACACCGCCCTGCACGCAGGCGCGCAGCTGCCCGGCCCCGCGCTGCGCGCGCGCGCTCTGGCTGCGCTCAGTCCTCCCGGGTGGAGGGGTCCTCGAGGGAGCCGAGGCCGCCCAGGCCCAGCCCCGAGGAATTGTGCGCCGCGGAGGCCGTGAGCACTGTGTGGAGGAGGATGAGGACGAGCACACACAGTCTCAGCCGGCCGGGGCACAGTCTCGTGGCCGAGGACACGGGGAGAGACGGCCTGGAGCAGGAGGCAATGCCGTCCACGGTCCCTCGGGGCTGGGGTGCGGTGTGCGCCTCGCCCCTGACGTCACAGCATTCGGGTTCATCATTGGTCAGGAAGGTTTCGTACAGCCCTGGGGGAAGAGGAGAGGGAAGGTTAGAGCCCACGGGTGCTGAGCCAGGGCTCGCAGGGGCAGCCCCATCCGGCGGGCCTCCAGGATTGTCCTGCCAACAGGCCACGCTCCCCAGCTGTGCCCAAGTGTGCTTTGGGGTTCCCGCGTGGGGACAGCGCATGCCCTAGACTGGCAGTCGGAGCGTCCCGTTTCGAAGAGTATGGACACGGCTGGGCCACCATTCACCCTTAGCTGGAACGCAGTCCTTAACCTCAGCACTAACACCAAGCCCTGGAGCCCTGTTGGCCCAGTTCCCCTGGGAACCTCGTCCTGGCCGTGACCCCGTGGTGACCCCGTGGGCTGAGGCTTCAACGAGTGTGGGCCCTCACACTCAGAAGCTCGCCCACCCTGCAAGATCGCCGCTCTCTCTCTTCCTCCCTCTCCTCTCATTATCTCTTCTAGCTCAGTCCTACTTCTTTCTCCGGAAGCATGCACTGTTTGTCTTTTTAAGCTGATGAGTGAGTAGTTTTGAAAATCTTAAAGAGGGACAAGAGAGGAGCTGCAAGAATGAAGTGACGTTTTTTTCTTTTCATGTAAAATGCTTGGCTTGGGGACTGACAGAAATACGCTGATAATTTCGGCTAATGCTAATCATAGTTACTAGCCTCATGAGATCCGAACACCTCTCCCGCCTCTCACAACTCGGCGCCCTACAGCTCTGGCTCTTCGGAGCACCCGGTGGCCAGGCTGCCCTTTCTTCCTTTGGTTTCCTCCGTGTCTGCCCTCATCTCACCTCGGGAGTGGATGAGAGGAAGCTCGCGTGGGAGCACACACAACCGGCGGGTTACTCTTCCACACAGCATTTTTTCCCCTTTCAATCACAGTTGCCCATTTTCGTATCAGTTTCTGCACCCAACCATCAACTTGAAAGCATGAACTGAACATTTTCACCATTACGTTTCCAACATATATAAGAATACCTAGACAAAATATACAGTTAATGAGGCGTATTGCATAAGCAACTAAACACATCTATTAATTTAGCTACGAAGAAGCTTTTCGATAGCTTATGCTTCAATATGTTTGTGATGCTTACAATAGTCATTTCTTCTTAGGCATTCAAAGGTAAACTTCACCTTCGCCTAGGAAGACTATGGAAAAAACCTGAATTAATGAGATCTGTAGCTTCTACATTTTTATTGTATATTTTCTTTCATACCTCAGTGGCAGACCAGTCATTTATTGAAATATATGTATGATATTCTACAATGAAAAGCTGTTATAGAGAGCAATACAAATAAGACCCCAAAGATCATTTTATCAGAACTTAAAAACTCTAAGAATTGAAAATTTTTTTTAACAAGGTCATGAAAGTAAGAGGTTCTCCCCATAAGAAGAAGTTCTCAGAAGCTGGGTTCTGATTTAAACTAAAACTGTTAGGGACAGAATTAGTGTGGGCCAACTAATCGAGACTGCCACAGCTCCTGCATTCTCCTTTTCCCTGTACATCTTGAGAGAGTTTTCACTGGGAGCCATGTACACATGCCAAAGTTCAGATCATTCCCTAGGACATTTGAGAAAGGGAGGAAAAGAAAATTTCTGAAGCACAAATTCCAAGTGCTTCCTTCCAAGAGCAGCATCGGGACCTTTTTGAGCCCAAGCTCGTGAAGTGGTGGACCCCAAGCCTTTGCTCCTCTGGCTCTCTGCTTTCCCTAGGGCCAGCATTTCTCCGTGTCCCACCAGCTGAGCTCCAGAAAGGGCTTCACCTGCAGCACACACACGCACGCCATCCTGGGGAAGGGGCCCAGGCATCCCGCCTCCCATGCCTGTGGCATACAATCACTCTGGAAAATTAAGCAGCCTTCTCTTGCTGTTCATTTTAGAAAAAAAAATAAATGTATTATTCCTACATTTAATTAATAAATATAATAATATTAATAAAAGAATGTCAGTTGCACGTGTTTGTGGGGTACCAAGCAGTACTAGCTTCGGTACATATCTGTGCTCTACTGGGCTGAGATTAGGTTGAACGTAGCTATGCCGCCATTTACCATCCCTTTATGGGAAAATGTTTGACCCCTTCTTTCTTTCACTATGCTGTTACTGGCAGCCACCCAGCTGTACAGGACCACAACAGGACATAGTCCCATTTGTTGTTTGCGCCTGCTGATCATCCTTCCTCCACGGAAAGCACCGTCCTACTCCCAATGTTTATAAGACCAACTGTTTTAGAGTCATGCAGGAGTGATAATGCTTGCCTCTTTTGCCAGGCTTATTTTATTTAACAGGATTATGTCTGTGTCTATTCACAAGCTGTAACAGCAGGGTTTCCTTAATTTCTCACTATTCATGTGTACATGTATTGAAACATTTATCACACATTCCCTATTGACTCCTCAGTCAGATACTTGCCCTGTTCTGTTTCCATTGTGAATTCAGAGGACTAAGAAATACAGGCCACTTTGACTGACAGAGAACTTTGTTTTCCAAATACTCTCAGGAACGGGGGTGTTCTGGGTGCTAGGATGCATGCCCAGCATGTGTGAGTTTGAGCCCCAATCACTGACCCCAAAGAGCACAAGTGTTATTATGTGGTCGTTTTAGATAATATCTTAGCTCAAGAAGGCCAGGTATCTGGATGAACTCTGTATGTGTGGGAAGCTGTTTGGAGTAAGTCCTCTGTTATCTGTGATATTTTCCATTTGATATTTGCATCAAGGAAGAAAGTCCATTTTTTTGAATAGTTAAAGACTTTAAAATATTTGTTAAAAGTTCTGATTGTGAAAGCTTAGAAAATAGTACCCAAAAAGAAACAATGTGAAGGCAACCACATCTGACTCCATTGTCACTGTCCTCATCGTCACATCACTGTCACCATCATGACATCTTCATTGTCACATCGTCATCATGACATCTCATCACCATCATTATCATCTTCACCATCATTGTCATCATCATCATGATGACATCTTCATTATCACCATCATTATCATTATCATCACCATCATTATCACCTTCACCATCATTGTCAGCATCATCACTGCACTGTCACATCATCATCATGACATCTCATCATCATCATTATCATCACCGTCATTATCACTTTTACCATCATTGTCATCACCATCATACCATCATCATCATGACATCTCATCATCATTCTTGTCATCATCATTGTCATCATCATCATATCATCATCATCATTACATCTCATCATTATCAACATGACATCTTCATTATCACCATCATCATTGTCATATCATCATCGTCATCATTGTCATCATCATCATCATCATTGTCATCATCATCTTCACAATCATGTCATCATTATTGTTATCACTGTCATTCTCATAACGGGGAAAAACACTACTGGAAAATTTACAGTGTTTTTAATGAAGGTAGACACATACAGAATGAACATAATTTGTAGGTTTCATATACAAAACATGTAAATGAGATTATCTTTTACATTTTCATTCTACAATTATTTGCTAGAATTTGATTTATATTTTGCATGCTTATTACACGTAGGAGCACACAGACTATGTCTGAGCATCAAGTGTTGTACTCATTTTTAAACTCATTTTACTTGGGGTATTTAAGCCGCTGCCTCCCTCCCTTTAGCTCTAGGTAACAGAGAGAAGGTTAGTGGGGAGAGGGGTGGGTTACAGACCCCTTTACTTCTTCTGGTTGTTTAGGGTCAGTGGGTTCTTTTGGGGCTATAACAGTCTCTGTCAACAGCAAACGCAGCAAGTGTTCTCCTCCAAGCCACTGCTTTGAAAAGTTTCTCTTCATTTGTCTCCTCCAAGCCTCCACACTATCCATCTCTGGTTTCTCCAAACTGCAACACTTGCTGTTTATATCCCTCAGAGTCCTAGACCACTCTTCTTGCTTCCTGAGGCAGGCCATCACCAGCTGGCAAAGAACAGGCCCCGAAGGAGGCAATTATCAGCTGAGGACAAACTAAAGCCCAAACTAAAATTCCGCACTTGGGAATAAGACAAAAGTATATTTACATAACATAACTGAGTTTTTAAGGAAACCAAAGCTTCCATTATATTCAAGTTTCAAGCATTTATGCTAAAACAGAAGTGGATGTCTGCAGGGAGACAGCTGTTGCACAGGTGTGCTCACAGAAGGTGGGACCATCACAGCGGGAAGCCCAGCTCCATCCCAGCCCAGGCAGGCGGGCTCAGGAGCCCCATGCCCTCTAAGGAGCCATTAGCAACTGATAGCTGCTGGGTTCAGGGGTGAAGCCTCTTAGAGACTACTCATGTGCCAGGGATGATCCCTGAACCATCAATCTATAGGCAGCATCTGCGGGACTCTGGGTGTGTACAAAAGCAGCGCTGGAAGTTGAAAGTGCAGGGGGAAATGGCTCAGGGATAAAGGGAAAACAAAAGCGGAGGTAGTTGGGGTGGATTTAATCAAAATATATTACATTCAAGCAGGAAATTCTTAAATAGTAAAACATTTTAAAAGGAAAAACAAAACGGCTAATATGGTAGAATTTCTAAACTTCATGAATATATTTTCTTAAAGGTAATTGTATATTCCTATTTTATTTTCTGATTATTAATGTGTCATGTTTAAAATGGCTCATGTTGTAGAAAACTTTGCATTTATAGAGTTCAAGCTCTTAATTTATCCACATTGCCCTATTGTCGTTAATGTATTTCTGTTTTTCTCTCTTGTCTTTTGTGAGACTTGACACATTACATTAATTGTTATTGGATTATTAGAGATTTACTCTTGCCATTGTCATGTGTTATTCCTTCTGCTAATGCATTTGCTGTATTTGTGTTGTTTCATATAGCTTAGAAAATACTTTTTTCATTTGCTTTAAGTTTTATTTCTATTAAGGTCAGTGGTTTTTCCTTATAAAGGCAGTTCTCCATGTGTTTGGCATATGTCTTTCACTTAATATGTTTAAGTGTTAGCATTTTATAGTCAAGATTAGCATCTGTTTCAGTAAATTTTTGTCTAGTCAGAAAACTGCCAGCTGAAGAATATGTAACATG